ATATATATATATACATATACATATACATATATATATATACATACATATATATACATATACACACATATATATATAAACACTCACACACACACACACACACATATACATATACATATACATATACATATACATATACATATACATATACATATATATTAGGCAACACTATGGTACACAATCTCATCATCAAATCCCTAATTACTTTGTAGACCATAAGAACCACTTTAGATGATTGGCTAGTACCTATGTGACATTGCTTCTCAAAACAGTGGCTATCACTTAGCATCTCTTTCCACCTGAGTGGGGGAGAGACTAGAGAGTATATACATATTAGCAAATGACTAAGTGATCTGAGGTTGAAACACAGTTGATGTTGAATCTAAAGGATCTATAGCTAGATAAATACCTACGGTAAAATAGTACATAAACTGCTTGGCATGAAGTTATAGGTCCCTTTTTGGTTGAAGTAATTCTTTCATGCAAAGAACTCAATTTTGTGCTAAGGGTAGTTTGATAACCTGTTACATTCTTCCCAATAAGGCGGATGCTTTTGATCCTGCTCGGACAGTAGTATGTGATATTTATTAACATCCTGGCATGGGTAGGGCAATTAAATCAACTTTCTACGCATGATAGAGATTTGTCATTATGTGTACAGCAAATAGAGAGAAATATTACTCTCTATTCACGTGGTTTGGCAAATAGTTTAAAGGAAAATTAGGTCAGCCAAGGAAAGAATTGTCTAGTTAAAGAAAGAATTGTCATTATGTGTGAACTGTGGACTATAAAACGTCTAGTTAAGCAGACTTTCCTAACAGTCAAACTGTAATAGTGTAATTATTATATTATTATTAATTGTAGTTGAAGCATGGTGTTATTTTCATCTCAGAGTATCAGTGATATACCTACATTAAGTTAGATTTTTGTAATTTTAACTACTTTATAGACTAAATAGTTTTTTTTGTGTTTCTTTCAATCTTTTAGTCTGACATCTGACATGTTCTTGTCTCTGAAATGTGTAAATTCAGCTTCTATCAGCACAAAACGCTTTTCAATTTAAGGAATTCTCTTCATTTTTTAGTATATAATCATGAAATTATTGAACAAAGGTTCCTTATATTGGTTGATAATTGTTTCCTTTTTGTTATGAAGAAAGATATATAGTTCAATTTATTTGGCATTTTCTCTATTTGATTCACAATAATTTTGTTTCAAGAAATTATGGAGCTTTTTTTTATTTTAAAATTCAAACAGTAAACTTTTGTGTATTGCAGGTCTGTATGTTCTAGCTTCTGAGCCAGTTAAAATTCCTTGGTTTGATGGAATATATGCCGATATTGGAGATGAGCAATCTTTGACCCAATCATTGTCAACCTTCTCTGGCCATCTGAGACAAATTGGCGTAAGTTTATTGATTTTAATATCAACAATAATATATTAGTTTGAAGAATACGTTATCTGATTAGTTAGTCTTCCGTTGTACTCAAAGTTTCATTTACACAACTCAATAGTTCTCATATAGTAAATCCCAAGGCAACACAAAATAACACCTTTAGCCTTGACGTATAATTTAAAAGGCTCAGATTAGAAGGCTCAAATCAAGTGTTACAAGAAAAAAATGTCATTGTTGGGGATGACTTCATCATTTAGTATGTTTGATTTTAAGGTATTACTCAGAAAATAAAGAGTCCCAAAAAGATAGGGAATACTAACAAAATATAAGAGAAGGAAAAACACAAAACATAAGGACACATTTTTCAAACATGGTCTTATTAGTGTTTGTAACTTGGGTGTTGCTAAAGCTTTTGTTTTCCAAAGACTAACCAGTGAACATGGAAAATTCTAATATCATTGGAAAATTTCACAAATACCCACATTTTGAATGGTTTGGAGCTGTAACTTAAAAAAAATTAGATGAAATCCATAGTAATTTTTGCAGCTTGTTTGATGCTTTTTTGTGTCGAATTTGTTTAGACACAATATAAAAATATTCAAACCATGGTTCGAGAGAAACTTAGGCATTTGAAGTTTGTTTGTGGCTTTCATTATGGTGAAATGTAATATAAGGTATTATTTTTGTTTCAAGAAAATAATAAGTTTTTTAAGAGTCCTTCTGGTATGTTCAATATTCTAAAATATTTCTTTGGAGTTAAAACTCTTTCCTCTTGTATGTATATCCTTTTGCCAGGCTATTCGTTCACAATCGACACATAAGTCGTTGGTTCTCTTGGATGAAGTAAGCACCATATGCCAAATTCACTTTTAACTATATGTTACTTTTTTCGGAATTAATTTTCCTTATGAGGATAAAGGTTCTCGTTTAATCTTACGTATATGTGTATTTCATGGATCATTTTTTGTCAAGTTATCAACATCATGTTTCATACCAGGACTTAATATTGCCTCATGATATTGTTATAAGATGTGTACCAAAAATCATCAAAGATTGTTTAAATCTAAAGGATTGATGCACTTGCCATAAAGACCATGTTTATTCACGTGCATTTTTTTCTCTTTTAGTTATCTGGAAAGATTCCTTTCAGTGTGTTGTTTTTATGTTACACTTTTCTATAAATGTTATCACCATTGGCTGATATGCGTCCAACTTGAAACAAAGGAATAATTTTCTACATGTTGCAGAATATCTAGACTGATCACCAATATGACCTTGTTGCTTCTGAGTGGTCTTTATCTGAGCAATTGTTGCTATGTTTACTTCAACTTCATGTGGTTGATTTCCTATTCCTCCTGGCCAATCTGAGGCTCTTGTTTTGGCTATTGTGAGGTATCTTCTTCCTATAGACATTTTGTGCTCATCAAATATCCTTTTCTGTTTTTGTTTTTGGAAGTGGAAATTAAATTATGGCCACTAAGTGAATAATTTGGGATAGAAAATCACAAACAAAATGATGGATATCTTTTGTTTTTTTTATCTTTAGTACCTCAAGACCTGACAATGTAGTGCACTCTTCTTTTTGGTTTTCTTAACTGGTCAGCTTTGAAGCTTTTTAACTTGGTCATCTGATCTATGGAATTGATATTCTTGTATTAAAGTACAAGATGATGGGATTTTCATCTTAACCTAAAGTGAAACACAGCGAAGACAGTTGTCATGCAAATTTGAAGGCTGTGAATATCCATGCTAATTTTGTTTCTGATCTCTGCAAAATGTTGGTTAGCCTTGTAGACGACTAGTTGTCCTTTATTTTTTTCTTTCCTTTCTTTTTTTCGAAGCAAATTTAAGTTTGCAAAAATAACTTATCAGTAAGAGTTACAAAACCAGATTCTTTAAGGAATCCTAAGGTTAAACATGTGGTTAAGTTATTTCGCGTGAATCGACTTAGATACTTCATGCAATGCATAGCACATGCTGGTGATAGTGAAAATGAGCTGTATCTGTTAGACTTGTGTTCATACAATATTTGGTTTGCAAGGAACTATCTTCTATTTATAGATACCAGAAATATAGGTACATAATATGGATTTTGGGCTTTATGTCCTATAATTGTTCTCAGTTATTTAATGCCCCTCTGTTCTTTAAGACCACATTCCAAGTAATCAATTTTTTATCCTTATGTATAAGCTTGAAGACTCTTATATTGTATTTAAATGACTATTATTTTTTGGTTTAAACTTTAAAGTACACTATGTTGTTTGTGATCGAGAACTACATAGTTACAGGCCCATGTCTTGATGCTTGTTATGGAGCCCATCAGGACGGGCAACTATTATCACAGTATTTACTTTCATAACTAAGTCCAGATGCTTGGTTTGGGTCCCATTAATGCAAGCTGTTTTATTGGCATGCTTCAATATATTCATATGTGATGCCTGTCATTACTTGTGTGCACATGTTGAGACATCCTAGTTGCCAATTTAGTCCCACATTGTATGTAGGGGACAATAGAATTGGTATGTAAGTCTGGTCAAAGTGGTGCAGTATGCTGGTAGACCACCATATGTTGATGGAAAAGAAAATAGAAAAAGCTGGGGAAGAAATGGACATATAATAGAAAGGGAGGGGGGCCCAGTACTCAACATTTCTTCTTCCCTTGCAACATTGCTTTCAGGCAGACTTGAAGAGATGGGCCCTTATTGCATGATTGAAAATGTCTGGTTCAGTTTGGCTATTAATCAATTAAGGCTCGTTTAGTTCGGCTCACTGCAATTGGGTTTGAGGGTTCGACGGTCAGTCTGCAGCTACAGGTTCTGTATTTTACAGTTTACCAACTGTTGACTCTGATATTAGTTTATACAATACCATCAGTTGGTGTTCCTTATGATAACTAATTCATTTCATTGTTTAGGTTGGTGCTGGGACTAATCCACTTGAAGGAGCAGCTTTAGGAATGTCAATTCTAGAATCTTTTGCTGAAACTGGGTCTTTTCTAACTATAGCTACAACACATCATGGAGAACTTAAAATGCTGAAGTACAGGTTTGTATAAAACTTCTTGAAAGATAAAATAATCACATTTAGATAGGAGTATTGTAGATTAATGTATATAAAGGACATCTATGAGATGAGGATTTTCACATGTTAAAGCCATCATGATGGTGACAATCTCAAGTTCTGCATTTTATGATGTCATGATGTGTAGTATTACAACTACCCATCACTTAAAAGTTAATGACTTTCATTGAAAGCAGCTTCATTATGTTAAACAATCATTGTCATTATCTGCAGCATGATGGAATTGAGTGTTTAATTAATTGGAACTTAGAAAGGGCCATCTTCCTTGTTTGTCCTCTTCTCCTCCTCTTTATACCTTAGGATGAAGCCTTCCTTCTTTTTCTCCTTTGTACTGCTGCTGCAATTTTCTTTCTGGAATGTACTCTAAAACTTGGAACTTAATAGCCCAAATTACTAAAACTGATGGAACTTGAATTCCACAAATTTGACTGAAGCTGAAAATGATAAGAGGAGTCAAGATCTAAAACCTCTATTTATGCATGAATTCATGATATTTTAGATACGTTATATTTATGTGCAATGCTTTTTGACTTTTTAAATTTTGAGTGACATTTTGCAAAATTCATGTTACAGGAATGATGCATTTGAAAATGCATGTGTGGAATTCGATGAATTGAGTTTAAAGCCAACATATAAGATCCTCTGGGGAGTGCCAGGTTTTCTCTCCCCTCGTGATATTCATCAATTTCATTTATTCTATGAGTTAATTTCTGTGAAAGCTTTAAAATTTTTTTAATTGATCCTTTTGCTTGCCAAGTCTCAACTATATATAATAATAGAAGCTTTTAGGATAATTAATCAAGGGTCCATTTTTTAAAATTTGCTGACCTTTTGTTTCTAAATCATGACTTATTAATGATTTTCAATTATCTGAAATGGACTCATGCAAAGGAGCACTATAGTGGCTTCTCTTCTACCCAAAAATGAAAAAAAAAAACCTCAAGACTAATAGGAAACACTTGAAAGTTGTATGCAATATTTTAAAGAAATAAAACAAGGCACCAAATGCTGAGTACCGGTGGACCGAGGAAAGGAATAGTTAACATGGTAAAGAAATGTACACCCATCGTAATGGAAATTAGAGGGGCATCCTTCACTTTTTTCCCCCAAAATGGCATGAATACATCTCTAAAACGAAAAGTTGAGAAGCCAGATAACTTGATATATCAATTATCACTGGGGCACTAGACTTATTGAACAGATAATAGAGAAATGCCTGCCTTGTCTTTTCAGAGAAATGACAATCCAAGGAGATGCAAAAATGGATAATTGCATCAACGATTAACTTCAACATTCTTGATGTAAATAATTGAAGCTGATTTATTTCTGAAATTAATTTGCTGATAGACAATTTTGCTAGGACCAAAATTGTTAACCTATCGTCTACATAAGATACTTGACATTCGTGCTTCATTAGACTCTTACATCTGTTGATACTTACCATTTCTTAGGATTTATTAAGGAAATTGAAGGGTTACCTTTATCAATGACCATCATACCACTTGAAACGGGCAGTTCGTACCTGTCTGCGCTTCATCAGACTCTAATCTCTATTGATACTTACCATTTGCCTTTTGTTTAGGCTTTATTAAGGCAATTGATATCTTTATTGCATGAGTGTCAAACTCTGACCACTAAGAGATATCTTCTTACACACCAAATTTTCAAGATTCATGGTGTGTTATTCTTTTGCATTATACTGACTTTTGCTAGGATTTTCCAACATACATAGGGTTGATGGAAGGTAGAAAATTTGTCTCAAAATTTTACTCAGATCTTCCATAGGACATTCATTAATGGAATCATGAGCTATAGGCAAACCATATTGATGGGAGAAAATGTTAGACCTGGATATTTTGTTGGGGTAATTTAGGGATTTGTATTTGCTTTGTAATTGTTTGATGTAAGGTTGGCCTTACCGGTCCGAACTACTATATCAGTCGACTGATGGTACGGTACGCATCGCTCTGTGCCGACATACCATGTCTCAATACAGTGGGGCGGTACTTATGACACGAAAAAATAGTCGAAGTAGCTCCAATTTTTTTTAAAATTAGATTAGGATTTTTAAGTTTAAATAAATATAAATTTAGTATAATTTTAACAAAAATATTCTAAATTCTAAATATTCCTTCTATTGATATTGAATTATCTACAAAGAAATAATGTGAATTGTTTGATTATTTAAGAAAATTTTAAATTTTAAGATTCATATGAATCAAGCAATTGATCGATAGATATATCTGGTTCTACCACAAAAAAGAACAATGAGGCTCCATGGGCGATGGATCTAGGTTTTTGATCCTTCCTATGTATATGTATATCAATTTGATATATTTGATGAACCCAATCCTGAAATTGATCTCATGACATAATATACTGTATACCATAAGCCAACGGTGCATAAATGTGGTGATGGTCGTAGTCTGATCATCATGAACCACACATGTTTGAGGTGGCTCCTGAGGCAAGTACGATTGTGACATGTATTGGTGCGGAGCATAGAGAATGCTGAAATTTTTATTTTTGCCACTAATCTACTGCTTTGTATCATAAGATCGATCATTATACTATTGCTCGGAGAAGAATGATCAACTATCACCATACTATTGTTCAAAGAAGAACAAACAACTTTCACATCGAGCTTCATGATCTGAATCTTGGGTGGCAATCGTAAAATACTGCTCCTTGGTTCATGCAATACTCTCAAACTGTGTAGACGAGATGATCAACTCCATGGCATCGTTGCCATCATCGGTCGAGGCACTGTTGTACATGTTGCTGCCATGTCTTCGGACCACATGACTTACTGAATGCGATTGAGAAGTTGTCTACGTACTTTTGATTAGAGAGTTCTTCTTCTAATTTAGATGTTAATCCTCCCTAATTAGCCTCCCAAGCTAGATCTAATTCACAAATTGTAGTTTTGTGAACTTTTAAGAAAGTGGAAATGTGAGAATGAGAGAAAGAAGTGAGTGAGAAAGAGATTAAGAGTATAAGAGTTTGAGAGAGTGAAAGAGTGGGAGGAAAGGGTTTAAAAACCCTTTCAAATTGATCTTACCATTGGAAAGGGTCAGATTTGAGTCATCCGTTGGTAACGGTTGAAATCCAACCGTTACCGATTGGTACAGGTCGATAATGGTCGGATTTTGACCATTATCGAGCGGTACAAGCCCGTATCGGGCGATACAGAGTCTTTTAGTATATACCACCCGGTATAGGGTTATTCGCGTATTGGTTTCCTATTGGATCGGTATGTACCGCCTATATCGGGCAGTATACCATGGTACGTGGAACCTTGGTTTGATGATTTTGATTATTTGTAGAAGTTTGAGAAATATTTCAAAAAAAAATTTGTGCAGCTCTATAAGATGGATTTTTGAAGATAGCAAATATTTGATTGTGGCTTGTAGTTGAACCAGCCTCAATACAGCCAAACAGTTCTCTTTTTGAAAACAAAAGCAAGTAATAGATGTATCTGGATGAGTGCAGATATTTGAGTCTAATAGAGAATCATGAATAGTAGTATCATATATGGAATTTTCACTTTCTCTTTTGTAGAAATAATTTGCTACGTTTCTGTAGGCATGCAACAAACAATGTCATACCTCAGATACATTCAGCAGCCTATTTTAATCACTTAGCATAAAGAGTCATTAGAGTTGAAGTGGAGCATATAAGTTTCAAATTCATCTATTGTAAAAATCAAGCTTGGCAATTTTGTGTACTGGTAATGTACCAGGCAGAGCTTGGGCTGATACCATACTGGTGTACTACCACTTGGTACACCATTACCTCCTAGGTTTCAGAAAAATACTAAAAATACTGAAATAATAGAATACTTTACCAGATACATGGTCTGTACCATCCTATACCGAGTGATATAGGTCCTAGACCAAGTGTATTGTTTTGCTTTGGTTCACATACAACTAAGTTGTTGGACTGGTAAATACCACTTGTACTGTACCCTACTGATAGTATTGCAAACCTTGGTAAAGATTTATAGATCAAAAAATTAAAATCTTGAACTGATAGCGATACCGATTAACGATTGGACCAATATGGTACTGATCAAGGTTCACCATACCGTACCGTACCGGGGTTTCAACCCGGGCTCGGTACGGTACGGTACCGGTCTACTGGGCAGTACATCTGGGCATTCCGAGCGGTACACCCTGGTGTACCGTACAATTTTATACTTTTCCATACTGTAGTACTGTAGTGGTACCGGGCGGCCCACGTACCGGTAACCTGTCGGACCGGTACGTACCGCCCGTACCCGGGCGGTACGCTTCGGTACGGCAGACCTTGACTACTGATACTGAGTATAGTATCGGTTGGTACAACCGTACAAGTAGGTACTGCCCTAACAGATAGAGGTCAAAAGAGGAGGCATAGTAGAAGGAAGAGGAGATGGAGGTGGAGAAGGTGGAGAGAGATGGGCGGTAGGTAGGCGAGGGATAAGTATGCTTTAGATAAAAAAAATAGAAAAAATATACGTTGATACTGGTACTAGTATGTACCAGGTGGTAGCTTGGTCTCAGTACTTGCTACTTGGTAAAAACTTACCAGTGGTAAGCACTATTCCGAATCAGACAGCACGAAATTGCTCGGTTCATACCGGTAGGCCATCAGGATGGTAAAAGCAAGTCCATGCCAGCCTATAAAGTCAAAATTTACCTCTGTGATATAGAATACACATTGCTACATGGTCTTAAAGTAAAATTGGTTAACATTGTTGAGAAAATGCAGCAATTTTTGTTTACTTGTTTGATAGGATGGAAAACTAAGATCAAGCTGAAACTGGATTAGATTCGGTTTTCTTAATTATTTGGACATGAAACCTCAGATAAAGCTGTGTGCTAGGTTGGAAGAGAGGAACACAAGAAAAGCAAAGATAAGAGGAGTGTTAACTTAATTAAAATTCTAGTATTACTCTTACAGATAAGATTTGACTGGTTACAGAGAGTTGTGCTTTTTGCTAAGAACTTTCTGATCAGCAAAACAAACTTTGCGTGTTAATAGAATCTCAAATATGCTTAACAAGAATTAATGTAACCGAAAGACATGGGTGTAAATTGAATAAGAAACTAACTTCTTCTAAATACTATAGCTAGTACTTCTTTGTTTAAATAACTATATGGCTATGCAAATGTCTTTGGCCTAATCCCAGCTTCAAGGGAGCAAATTATGGATCAATGCATTTCCATATAAGATCTTGCTATTATTTGAGTAGCTTGACTTAATATCTTACTATTATATCTAGCTCCTATCTTTTGTTTTGAGATTACTGCAATGGACAAAAACAACATAATTAGTAAGGACATGATAGTTCTAGTGAAGGCAGAGAGACGCAGAAAGGAAAAGTATAAAAGGCTCATCTTCTTTATACCCCTTAAATATGATATTCTTTATGATGCAATGAAAGCCCTTTCCAACTTGGTTCATGGTTAGCATTTGCAATCAAGTAACTGTTAATTTCACTAACAAAAGATTTAAGATGCATATATGTTGCATATATAATGCAACATATATGTTGCAACATATATGCATGGACATGCAACATATTTGATTGCATATATGTTGCAGATATGTTCCTTAATGTCACTAACAAAAGATTTAAGATGCCAATAGGAGAACATCCTTGGCACATCTTAACAAGTTCCAACGCATCAGTTTGAATTTCAATTTGACTGATCTTCTACTTGGCCCATTTCAGTCCCTCAATTATGGCACTGGCACTCTGCCTGTTTTGCATTATTGTAGGGAATACATCCGGCAGCCACTATATTCCCCCTTTTGTCCCTTAGAAGGAATTCAGTACCTACAAAAATCCAAAGATGGAGATAAGGAACCATCACATTCTAGTGAGAACTCAGCTGAACTAGATTGAATATCCTGTTGGTGGACCTGGTACCCTCGATTGCCCCAAGTATCAAGCTGATTATTATCATAATCAGTAGTAAAAGCTAGAGCCTTACACCAGATAGTGGAATGTCTGTCCAGCTGGTTGTGATATAAGGAATCATTACAATTAAGCCAAAGGAATCATTACACTAAGTATCCAGATTGGGAGTTGGCAATTAAACTTCTAAGTCATGTAGGATCATGTCCTTCTTAGTCATATCATGTCCTTCCTCAAGCTTTGCCACAACCCATTAAGGTGTTCAAATGTGATGTTTGTTCTTCGTTGGAACAGGTTTCGGTATTCTTGGGCAAATAAAAAAAATACATGTTTGGTGGAATTAGTGTAGTTCTTGTAGACAGAACAAGGGGATATTGGCCATGTGTAAATCTTGAGAAAAGGTCAGAATTGGGTAATTTATTCCAAAGCATTTTCCAAAGAAAGATTTGAACTTTAAGGGGTGTCGAGATTCCAAATTTCCTTCCAACCTGGCCATCCAACCTCTCCACACAGGTCCTCCGTCTAACCGAAAGGCACTTTTTTCTGCATGCACAGAGTAAGTGTCCATATCCAGCTGTCAGAGGATATAAATATAATATTAACCTGTTGAACACCACTTATATGATGATTGGTTATATGGATCATCTTTGTAGCTTAACCTAGTGATGATGTATATTAAGTTCACTATTAATAAGAAAAACATTAACATATTTTGTTACAGGCCGTTCAAATGCAATCAATATTGCTGAAAGATTAGGTTTGAACTTTGTTATAGTAGATGGTGCACGTAAACTACTTGGAACAGCAAACGCAGAAATCAACGAGGTAAACTATCTAAATCATTATATTGCTACTATGGTTGCAACTTGCAAACAATGTTTTTGAATCTATTTCAAAGCTTAAAGATTTGACTGCTTCATTTAACTGTATAAATTGACTCACTAAGTCATTAAATGCCAATTTATTGCTTGCAAATGATTTGATATTAAATGCATTAAAAATAATTATATGTATTTATTACCTTTCTTGAGGATTATTTATGATAATATGACATATTTACAAAAATGTATCTGAATATTTGCTTTAACTCTTAGTGTGCAAAATTTAAATTTCTTTTGATGATGACTAGTGATTTATAAAGGCGCTCGAGCAAGGCAAGGCGAGGCTCGAGTGACTCATGTAAGGGCTAGGCGACGTGCTTCAATAAGGCATCGCCTGGGCGCTCGCCCGAGCCCAGGCGTCGGGCGCTTCAAGCGAGCACCCGATTGATATAAGACAACTGGGTTCGGTTAAATATGTGTTAGTTGGTTTGATTGAACCAACTAACGCACGCAGTTACCTCAAAACCTATGTGTGACCTCGACTCCCAACCCTAGCGTGCTTTCTCCCTCTACCTTCGTCGTCGACAATTTCTTCCTCTGTATCCATCGCCGACGATTTCTCCTTCTACCTTCGTCGCCGACGATTTCTCCCTCTACCTCTATCGTCGACGATTTATCCCGTTGGCTTCGAGTCTTCCTGTATCGTCGATCAGAGTCTCCTTAGCTTCCGTTGCTAACCGTTGTTTGTCGTTGCTATCCGTTGTTGTTACCGCTGCTGCTGCTGTCCGTTGTTGTTGCTTGCTGCTCTCCATGACTCCACTGCCACTGTTCGCTACCTCCTGTTGTCTGCGACTCCATTGTCGTCGTTGCTGTCTATTGCCGTGGCTATTATCCGTTGCTTCTCTTTTGAGTTCTGACTTACCATCGGTTTCATTAGATGATATATTTTTTCCCTTTTAATAGTTATACTCTTTCCTTCTAACTATTGTTAACAATAAATAATATACTATTAACAATAGATTATTAATTATTGTACAAAATAATCTTTATTTATTAGATTAATAATATTATATATTTTTTATATTTTAATATTTTAGAGCACCTTGCTTAGCTCGAGCGCCTTAGTCATTTTGGGACTTTGACGTCTTTTGGGGCCTAGCGCTTTTTAAATGATTGATGATGACATCATCTATCAACTAATTTTTTTAGCTAAAAAGGATTTCAAATATAAAAAGGAACTAAACAAGAGTGAAATTCTCGATAGACATGAATAAGCTTTTCTTAGGCAAATGTAGTCTGAAGCACATTGAATGTTATCCAATTAATGAAATAAAGATTATAAGAAAATAGGAGGATTAATTTTAGTGAAGAGGTTATAAGGAGAGAAGAAAATCCTTTTCTAAGAGTGAAACAAAATTGGCTAATGTTTTGTCTTGTAAGTTATTTTCTAAGAGTGAAAGGATTGTAGTACTACCCAAAACAATATAAAATGGGCGGTATTTATTGGTCTACTCGATGACTTGTCACAAACGAAGCTGTAAATAGGGTGTTCGATGTAATGCTCATGTATGTCCGTATCTTTCGGTTTTGTTCATACTTTACACATGTAGAGGGCTTGCAATAGGCTTGGCAGTCCCATTTTGGTTGACTTTTGTGGTTGTTTTAAGCTTATAAATGTAGGTTGTGTGCAGTCATCACGTAGAGGTAAAACTGTCCAGAAACAAGTTATCCAAGTATCCATTTTAGGGGTTTTCTAGTTTCACTAAGTGGTGTGGACTGTTAGTCAACACAACACCCAAGAGCTACCTCGGTGGCACATGGTTGGATGGGCCTTTGGGGTAGTATCTAAGGTTGGTTCGCTGTCTTGTTCTGCAGTAGTATCATGCAAGGTTCGCAATACCGTACCGTACCGGTATTTTGACCTGGGCTCGGTATCGGTACGGTACGGTATACTGAGCGGTACACCCAGGTGTATCGAGCGGTACACTCAGGTGTGCCGAGTACTGTAGCACTGCTACAGTGCTACATTGCACTCGGACTGGTAACAGGCGGTCCGCGTACCGGCAACCTGTCGGACCGGTACGTACCGCCCGTACCGGGCGGTACAGTTCGGTACTGCAGACCATGGTATCATGTGAGCACTTGTGCTGACTTTTGGTTACGACGAACCACCTTGGATCCTTTGTTGCGCGACCGTTTAAAGCTTGCAAATTCTATGTTTGTAATTTGCATTGCAAGTGTTTGTTGAAATAGCCGCTTGTGGGATCTTGAGTTAAACGCTTTCTCTGACCTGTCTTTTCTTTTGCAGGTCCTTAAGGGACTATAAGAGGTTTCAAGGAGGTTGACCCTTTGCTGACAAACATGTAAGAATGTTGCACGACTTAGGCAAAACCAGCTAAGTCTATGACAGATGACATCAGAGTGGGACAAGCACATTTAGAATCACTTAGCATGCAAACATGGGAGATCGAGCGGGGTTATATTAAGGGTAGCCAGCATGCATGACCGTTTAAGGGAAATAGACATTGAAAGGTAAGGAAAGGAGTTGCTCAAAGGAGTGGGCATCCGAGATTGACATTCAAAGGAATGACTAACCCTTCACGCTAAAGGCACCATGAGGACAAGCGAGTTGGGAAGAGCACGTAGTGCACAAGGTTGGGATGGCTGAGTTCGGGCTACGACTCAATGTTGGCAACCAAACTTGACGATGCTTAAGGCAAGCAGCGCGCTTGGCAAAAGATGAGACCGTGCAAGGTAGGATGGGTTGCTTAGTGATCGAAAGAGTTGTGCAAAGCTCACAGAGGTGAGGGAAATTACTAACTTGAAGAATTCGGTAATCATGCAAGGGTTTGTATGCGGACAATGGATTGTTCATAGCCATCCCAAGGCGATCAAAACTAGGCGCCATGGAGCATCGAAACTTTCTTTTTGGAATGAGAAGGATATGTTCGTAGAAGACTAAAATGTGCAGTAAGTTCAACATGTTGCTAGGTCTTGAGGAGCATAATGAGGGTTGTATTGGCGAAGAGTTGTAATCTAGCAAATGTGTTCGTAGGGGCGGAATAGTCTGCTGTTTGTTCAGCAAGGCAGGGTAGTCCAAGGGGATGGTCGTCGTCGAAACTTCCGAAGGGAAGGATGCGAAGAGAAAAGTTGCTCCAATGGGATAGCTATCCAAGAGGGATAAATCCCGATTCTCGAGAGGGAGAATCATGTGTAATAGCCCGCATATGTTGAGGAGGGATACCTCAAGATAACAACTCTATAAAGCTCAATAGATCGAGCGAGCAGCGAGGAGTTGTCGCATGATCTCGCACGAGGTAATACGTTGATGGACGCATGTTAGGACTCTAGCTAGGAGAGTCCTAATTGAGAGGGGCATTCATGTAAAACCTACCTAAGCCGACCCCTATTAAAGAGGTGAAGAGGCGGGCTTGGGTTTGGAGGTTATTTCTTAGAGAAGAATTAGGAGTTGTAAAGGAATAGGAGTCTTGAGTAGTAGTCCTATTAGGAGTCTTGAGTAGGAGTCTTAATTAAGTAGGAGTCTTGAGTAGGAGTCTTAATTAAGTAGAAGTCTTGAGTAGGAGTCCTATTAGGAGTTAGGGTTTAGAAACCCTATAAATAGTCATGTATTCATCCTCTTTTGATAAGCAATAGATGAATCTTTTCTGTAGCCTTTGAGCAGCAACTTGGAGGGAGGAACCTCTATAGAGTTCCAAGGAGGCCGATCCCCTAAAGAGATCAACCCCAAGTTTAGAATCTGCAAGGGTTCTAAAACCTGGCATCAGAGCAGCGTTCTTGGCATCTCGCTGCCCTTCCATAGCCATCCATTAGCCCTTCACAGTCGCCCAAAGCAATTCCCACAATTGCTTAAAAGATCGTTGCCAAATTCCGCCGTTATCTCCACCACTGCGGATCATCCTTTGATCTCTCCGTAAATTGCAACAGGTTTTGGTTTCCTACCTTATTGCTGTTGCAATTTAGTTATCCTTATTCGAAAATCCTAAAAAAAATTGTTCCAAAATTGCTGCATAAACTTTTCGTCACAAAGTTTTCATCTCTACGATGAAAGATACATTGCAAAATTCCAGCCGCATAGCACAGATTGTTTGATCTTGCTACTATGTTTTTTCTCTCTAAATCTCTAGGAAATTTTTATGACAGCTTTGACACTTCCTAATAGCAAATTTCCTTTTGGTTTTGTCAAAAAAATTTCAATATAAACCATTGATCTTTTATGTCTAAGCTGCTATACTTGAAAATCTACATTGTAAAATTTCAACTGCATAGCACAGTTTGTTTGATCTTGCTACTATGTTTTTTCTGTCCAAATCTCTACAAAATTTTTATGACAGCTTTGACACTTCCTAACAGTGGATTTCCCTTTAGTTTTGTTGAAAAATTCTCAATATAAACCACTGATCTTTTACGTCCAATATGCTATACTTGAAAATCTGCAGAAAATTTCAGCCACATATTATTGCCTTAACCGATCTATTTGCAATCCTTTTTGAACGAAATTTCTTATACACTTCATAGATCATCTTGACTTCCATCTAAGATTGATCTATTGAAGAATTCAACTCTAAAAACGATTTTGTATTGATGCAAATTTTCATCGCAAACCACTGAAATTTTTCGACGAGAATTTTGCCATTGCAACTTGCATCAAGTTCCTTGCTGTTATAGTGCCGAAATTTTCTTGATTAAATTGGGCATCCTTGCTGTCATATAAACTGAGATTTTGCTGTTAATTCCTCCTCAAATCTCTCAAGTTTTTGGTGGAAATTTCGTCGAGAAACCGATGTTTCTTCGACGACAATTCTGCTCTTACAAGACAGCACATACTTGTAGCAACTTCCACTGATTTCTATCAAACTTTTGTTGCCTTCTACCACAGATCCAAAACTTTCATCCACAGCCCTAAAACTCCACCAAACCACACCCTTAAACTGCACCCAAAACAGCCACAAAACAAGCCTAAACCGCAGCCTACATCCACCAACC